GTATTCTTCAAATTCGGCGACCATCTACCCGTAGAATAGTCCAGAATGGGCAACGTGCAAGGCAGTATCGCCTGTTATGTGATTTTGACAAAATATTAAATGGAAGTAGAAGACGATGGAGGTCTTGAATAACCTCCATAAACAAGGCTGAAATATACATTGACGAAAAACCCAACATGTTTGTACTATCCACGTCCCAGTTGTGAGTGAAGTACATGGCAACAAAATGCGACTAAAATAACAACTACTGAGTTACACGTGTTACCCTCGTCGGATATGCATCTGCTGACCATAAATCTTCCAGCATCTCTGTCTTGACCTTTTTTTGCAATTTTTTCAAGCGTTATTTATGATGACCATATATATTCTCAGATAAAGATATGTTACGCGAGGTATGCCACTTTACGGAAAAGATTAAATTGTTATAATTGCTACAGGCTTTATTTTAATAATTTACTCAATTAAGTTGAAATGTTATGGGCCACATTGGTTACGTTATCCCCCAATTCTCGGCAAAACGCGTTCGTTGGTCTTCTTCTCTTCCTTTTATCCTGATTATTCCAAATCATTGCTTGCTCGTGATGTAGTTTAATGGTTTTTGTAAGGTGTTTTATTTTCACTTTCATTGTCCTCTACTAAATTCTACTTCAGACTGATGCTGGTTTGTTCTCTCCCATACGGGGTTATCGCCCATAATGTCTAGGCAACGCCACTGTAGTATGTTGTGTAGAAATCTGTTAATAAATACCTATGCTCTATTGATGATGGAGATGGTAGTCCTTAAACTTTCAGCGCCGTGAAATAGGACTGTTTTAACGTTTTTATTCAGGGTTGTCACTTTCATGTTGTTGTTCTGTGTTCCACACATTCTTCAGTTGTAGGAGTTCTTTCTTCGCTTTGATAGCCGGCGCCTTCACATCTACATCAGACCCCCTCCTGCATGTTTATCAATTATGTTGTCCAGGTGGGTATAGGTTCTCACGTTCCCCAGACATTCTCCACCAAGTGTGGCTTGGTTTATGGTCACTGCGTTTTATTTTAAGATCCTGCTTTTTTTAATCTGTCGGAGCCTACTGCCACAGAGGTTACTGCTATACTGTCTGTCTCCACTTCCTTGTGTCTCTGTGCATGAAATAGAATGGATAGGTTATCTCTTAAGCGTAAGCTGTCTGGCTACGTCCCAAATCCCTCAGGAGTTTCCTGCCTACACCGTCAACTGCCTTTTATTAGTAACCAAGAATGTTGACGTAAAACGAAGATATCCATTCATTTCATTGTTCAACAATGTTTGATAGCGTCTCACTTTCATAGATGCTTGGTCGATCCTTACAAGATCCGGTCTGTTTATCTGAAACCCTGAGATCTACAGAGTCTTTCATTCGTTTCGTAAGCAATTTGTTGATAACTTTTTTGCTACTGACAGTAATGACATCCTTCTGCAGTTCTCGCATTTGTCAAGATAATCCTCCTTCAGTTTACTTGTGAGGCATCCCTCTTTCCATTTTGTCGCTACTTAAAATTCCACTGGAATCACTACGAAGAGAATATGAAACCCCTTTGCAGTTACCGCTACATCTAAATTCAGCTGGCTGTTGCTTTCTGACTCTATTTGTCTGAATGTTACGCTGATTTCTTCGAAGAATAACTCCAGCCTATGTTTCACCTCCTTATTCAACTTTCAAATGATTTATCTAATTACCAGCAAATTTTCATTAATACTTAAACGTTTTGGGATTATTTATTGTTACTAATAAATGTGAGGTTTTATCAAAAAAGTTTAATACTTGAAAATGTTCTTGATAACATGATCTTCTGATTGAAAGATGATAGCACTTCTTTGAACATCAATGCATCCGCGGGAGGCATGCTCTAGACTGTGCAATAATCCAATTATTTATACTCTTACTTACCTGTCGGCGGTGCAAACAAGTTAGTTGCAACTATCGTGTAGATGATGAGGTAGAAATCGACTTATTCAAAATAGAGGCAGTATAAATTGTTAAATTTGGAAAATCCATAATCTACGAATGAAAGTGGTATGATCTTGTACGGTTTCAGCTATCTAAACTTTTACAAGTTGGTTGTTATTCAGTGCTGTCTATGTGATTATCAGGGAGAGCAAAAGTTATAACCTTGGGCAAACATGTTAATGATAATGAGATTAACTAGTGAGAAACAGGTATTGTTGTTTTGGGTGTTCAGTACTTTCGATAGAGGAGAATATTTCATGTTTAGAAATTCAGAAAATTTAGGACCTAAAAATGTTCTGTGTATCCTTGACGAATTCGAAATATCTGGTTATATTACAAATCATAGTGCAGAGATGTTTGCTTAGTTCGAAGTAGACTCCACAGTTTCTATTTTGAGCAGTTTTATGAGCATCAACTAAATTACAGTTAATTTACTATGTTAGTCCATTACAATATCTTAATGCAGTGGCTTTGTTGTCGCACATGGTCTTAAATATGACAAACGTCTCCCTAGGCAATTCAGATTATCTCATGGCAGTATTTTGTCAAATAAAGCTATGAAACATATTTCATCCAGAAAACAATTTTGAGAGTTGTGTTTATATGAGACAAATCAAGAAGTCAGACAGTGGTCGAGAGAAAAGGTGTTAAGTAATAGCCCATGCTTTAAAATAAAGTAGGATATTTAGTGAAGAATCAAGATGAAGAATTAGACTTATATAACTATCCAATTCTCGCTTATATTAATTCCAAGCTTGTGTTCATGTGTCAATAGAGCGCCATATTTGCTAGAGGTTGGTCTTTTGATAAACCTATTTCGCTGAAGCATGCAAATAGACTGAGTTAACTCAGTCAGTCTCACCAAAGTTATAAATATGTTCTAGGTCGTTATTCGTACACTAATCTATGCTGCTAGAGTAACAAACTTGTTCCGCGAATGCAAGTTTTTTATGACGTGACTACCTAATCTATTAGACCTTACGTGGAAGTATCACCACTATATATTAACACTCCCTATTTTAGTAAAAATTGGTTGCTGTTAGAGACTTCTGAAGAATACACTTCGGCTGGAAAGAGAGTAATATATTTAATACGAAAAGCAGAAGGCGAAAGAAAGAACACACATGAGTGGCCTGGCCTGTAGTAAGCGACCCAACCAGTTGGCTGGAGTTGCCATTGGAATACATCCTGAAAGGACATGTGCACAAATTCTCTGCTCACTTAGCTTCCTAGCTAGAGGTATTGATACAATCAATCATGCATTTAACAAGTTTAAATAAATGGTCATTTCTAACTTACTACGTTGCTTATGTTAAACCATACAGATAAAGTGTTCCCACGTTCACCATTTCTGACCTTTTCAAGGTGTTAATTATCAAATGTAAATCTTCTCAGTTAATATACGTTCATCTTCAAAGATCGTGTGGTTGGAAATCAATATTTACACAAAACTACTCTTCAGCCACAGATCTGTTTACTGTGGTCGACTAATGGACCACCCTTGATCGTTGGCAACTTTGAAGCCCATTTCTAGACTATTTGATAAGAGAAGCAATTTTAATCGCTTTGTTTGACCTCATCTATAGCACTGGAGAATAATATTGTCTCATTCACACCAAAAGAATAGGATTATGTTGGGGCATGTTCAAAGGTGATTCGGGAAATCAGTTCGAAGATTTAAACCCGATACATGCGAATCTCTGGATCCCTAGCCTTTAAAGTAAAGTTGACCCAGGGGCAATACTTTTATCGCGCCCCAGCATTCTATCGAAACCCTCCAGATGGCCAACTGATTCTCTTCTCGGATACGAAACTCATCGGAAAAACTGATGAAATAATGATATCACACGATTATTGCTGCAAAGTAAGCACGCACTCAGGTTCTTTTTCGAGGTCAAGGTTTAAGATACTTTACCTGCCAAAGCTTTTAATGCACTTTCAAAGAGTCCTTCGTTAGTAATCTTCCTAAAGACTCGAAAGAGATACGCAACCAAGACGATACACAGGCACTTCAGGAGGATCTGACGCGACTTCAAAGTTGGGCAGACGATAACGGACTTACCTTTAACACTTCAAAGTGTAAAGTAGTCCATCTGCGACATGTCGCAAACTACAGTTACAACTTAGAAAACTCCTCTCTAGTAGTATCCCAAGTCGAAAAAGGTTTAGGAGTCCTGGTGCCCCGTGACTTAAAGTCTTACGCTAACTGTGACAAAAATGCCTTCCGAGCAAACCTTGCACTGGTAACGTTGAGGCGCATTTTTGGCCAGTTTGACGGAAGAAATTTCCACACAATCTTCAATAGTTTCATCCGTCCCCATTTAGAGTACGGAAATATAGTACTCCCCCCCTCACTCCAAAAGGACAAGGTCACTTTGGAGCGTATCCAACGGCGAGCCACGAAATCAGTTCGAGGACTCAAATCTAAGCCTTACGAAGAACGCCTCCGTTCACTAGACCTTTACCCACTAGAATATAGGCGTCTTAGAGGTGATTTATTAATGGCTTATAGTATTCTTAACACTTCTGGACATCTTAAACACCTACTTAAGCTTAGTTCGAATAATAACCTAAGGGGTAACACCCAGAAACTGGAAACACAACATAGCAAGACGGAATGTAGACACAACTTCTACTCCTTAAGAGTTGTCAAATGCTGGAATTCGCTGCCAGCCGAGCTAGTCCAAGCGACTTCTCAGGAGTCCTTCAAGAGGCAACTTGACCTATTCTTAAGGACCAAGGACAGCATCACACTATGATTTACCAATTTCTTTTCCTCTTTTATTGTTAACATACCTAGGTTCCTGCCTGGAGGATTTCGTGATCCCCTGCTACTAGACACGGAAGCCTGTTAAGCGAAAGCTTCTTCTATTCCGTCCACAACCATTTGAACCATTTGAAACAGTAAAACAAACTAATTTACTGCCTTCACGAATTCCGTTCGTTTCATATACTTAGGTCCTTACATTGAGGTACTAGTGACCCAGTGCCATTAGAAACAGAGGCTAGTTAGGAGGAAGTTTCTATTATTTGACCGTTACTTGAACTATTTAGAAAGATGTCCTTTGGCAGCGCTCTATTTATATGTAAACGCTACGATTTCGTCGTTATACGTTTCCACGTCTGAAGTATATAGACAATTTTCAAGCATGAAAACACATCCTAGGGGGACTAGTTCCGTTAAATGTCAAACAGAAGGGTATATATTTTTGTCTTGCTTCAGGTTATTTATCTTCTAATTCAGATAAAGAGAGTTTTTCAATTTAAACTCCAATACAACCTCTAAGATTGGTGTATCAAACTATAAGTGAGTGTTTTCTTGTCTTATAATTAATAGGTGGCGTCTGGCGCTACTATGTTTGCGAAGGAGTTGGTTATAAGCTGTACAAATAGCTATTTTTTCTGGAAATTTTATTACAAATAATTGTTTCAGTGTAACTCACTTGTTTCGATTTTCAAAATACAGCTAGTATTTAACCAATTCGTGAAACACCTAAATAGTTTAGAGTGTCAATGAAACAAAGACTCACTTATGACTTCGTCATTTCAACCGTTAAACTTTTCAAACCTAACCTCATCTGTTACGAAACGCTCTGCTACCACTATATTGACCACAAAGAAGTCACCTGTTTTCTGTTCGTACACAAAGGCCACTTTTGTTTCCTTTTTATTGTTGAGATCTGAGGGTCTTTGGTAGCCCCATGCTGTTCTGTTCAAAAGTTAGGATGAAGCGCGCGTGTATTAGTATTAAAAACTACAAGTCCATGAATGTTATTTCGTACCTCATTATTTATCCGTAGAAAATACATTTCTTATTGATTTAGCACCTATAATGCTGCCCAGCATTTTTGACCCATGGGTCAGAGATTGTAAAATTACCTTGTTTCGAGAGCTATATAGGATTTTCAAAGCTTAGCTCAGAACTAAATACATAAATTTGTGATCTGTCACTGAGTCATGTTATCTTTTTGTTTGTGTTTTAGATTGCGTTTGTTATCTGTAACATTAGGAACTGTAGGAATATCAACATTTTCACCTTAGTGTAAGCTTTTAATTCTATATCCATCCCCTTCTGGTTTATGAAACTGGCTATGAAGTTACTGGCAAAACCCCTGCTTTCAAGCAATTTTTATTTTGTTTCCATCAGCGATTAAGGAACACTAACTCTATTGACATGATATTCAATCTAAACTACTTTGACATTGTGAGTAAAACGATGTGATTTTAGATTAATTGTTAGGCTCTGTACACTTACGTTTGGTGTTTCCAGCTTTGTACTAAAGGTAGGTTTGTTTCTCATAAATGCCGATGAAATCCGGGTTGGAAAATTCCTGAGTAGAGTGTAATCCTTTGCACTATAAATACAGTATTTGTCGAAGTTCAATAATGTGGGACTTGGAAAGACGATAGGCAACTGTAAACATAGATAAAGTGATTATAATTCCCTTTGTGAATCCATGAGCCCGTTAAGAAAAAATATAGGATTCGAATCACATATGAGCGGAAATCGTTTGTGAATATGAAAACGTAAAGAATATCCAAGGTCACTCAGTATTCTATTTGCTTCCTAAAAATATAGATACTGATTTGATGACGGTTGGACCCCAAAACAACCACTTTCTCATATTTGAATTCTACATAGCCGAGCAGTAAGTCCAACCTCAACCGTTTATGAGTCGTAGTTGACGAGAAGCAACGTATAACCCATTAATTAGCTATAGACCTTTTTAGTGGACTAGTCCGTAGCTATGATATGTGACCACTATCCAAGTGTGTGGCGAGAAGCTTGTGGTCAGAATTTGTAGTCCATGAGTTTGGCAGGCAACCCGACCATTATCCAAATTGTAAATTTTATTTCCGATTCTGAAAAAACAACATATTTGTTGTACGCTCGAGGTAATAACTCAGTCCATTTACCATAGCAATACCTATACAGGCGGAAAAATGATATTTAATAGTAGCTTATCATATAATAGCACTTTCAAAACCACTTTGAAACGTTTAATTACATTTTACTTACTTTTACTCATGTTTCATCAGTGATTCAGATTCTCTTACACCTATAACACAGCTGACTTCACCAACTCTTCTACTATGATTATCTCACCCGACAATTCACGCAAAACAGACCCTTTGTCGATCCTTTAACCAGAGCTATCCATGAGAAGACAGGACTTGAAGAAAGACCCTGTATCTCCGGAAGAAACGGAAACGAATCTAGCTAAAGTTCGTTTTATGTATAGTATTGTACAAGACAAAGAAGCCAATAGGAATATGCGTTAGTTACACATTATCTCCGAGTCACAACAATATTAAGGTGTGGAGGTCCACAATAACAGTTTGTGTTGAGATAAGCTCAGCAAACAACACTACTGGTTTGAAGCAACCCTAACCAAAAGAGATGAAAAATAAGCTTGGAGATTGTCTAAATTTAATAAACCGTAGTGGTTATTATATCCCTGAATTTCTACATTAAAAAGAAAATGAAGCACTGTGCGTTGCTTAACTTGATTGTTGCATTGAAAATATTCAATGCTGTATTAAACAGCATCATTTGCGTATGCTTTGTGGATAAATATAGTTTAACAATCATCTGCAGTTATTTGATATTATTTAACACAACTACGTGACCAAATACAGTACTATATACTAGGCTTTATAGCAGAGATATTTAAAGGGAAGGGATGCTTTCTGATGACTGGTGGGTTGATCGAGGTTCAAACGTACAATAAAATGGTCGGACCTCGAGTACTTAAATCACTTTCCCTCTAGCTCACAAACTAGTTTGGTAGTACATTGTAAAATCATTTAATGAAATTGATAATTTTACCCGAGATTTCTTCTTTCTTTCACATCTTCATCCAGAATTTGATCACCAAATTAGTTTTATATCTTTCGTTTGGCTCATTTTAAACGTTGATCCTTCTGAGGCTATGTATTAACATCCGAATCCAAGGATACGAAAATCATTTGATGTTATCAAAGTTTGCTCAGTCGAGCAGGAAAATTTGTTTCTCAGTTCCACTCACCCTTTTGCACACGCATAAAAGTTGATCGATGGGGTTATTAAATGTATGTAAAGATGAAAAATGATTATTTCGTCTAAAATGGTTTATGAATTCAGAACATATCGTTCATTTTTATTATTTATAATGTTCAATCTTCTCCGCTTTGTGTTTGAACACTTGTATCTGGAAAAGTCTAGGTGTAGTATTATAATGCTGAGCAACGATTGTTGTATGTCTCTTCTTTTAATTTCATGACACTGTTGATGATGAGACATAAATGTATCAAAAAATATTGTATCTGTTATAAATGTTCATGCTACTTCTTTTGGTGAAAACAGGTGATATTCGCGTCCCACATAAATGCTAGGATGGTAAAGTTTCTTTTTCATCGATGTATTTTAAATAATGCTGAATGTAGCTAGTCGTATTAACTTACTTTACTTCTTTGTGAATGTGAATGGTGAATGAGAGACTTGAGGGTTGAATTATGTTGAATTATGAAGTATTGTACATTTTATTAGTTGCATGTTAGTCCTCAATGGGTGAGACTTTATTTTTTTTTACCAGTTTTTACTTTTGATATATCTAGTCTTTACACAAATCCGTGTTAGTATTTCGAATTTATTTTTTGAATTTTTCAATATTAGTCTTATAGTTTGCGAATATTTTCTCTGGATAAATAAAAATTTAGGGTTTTTCATTGTGACGCCATTTATCATAGATGATGATTGCTTTGTTTGTCTCACTTCAATATTTGGTTTGAATATCGGTTTTATTTCTACATCTAAGACCTCTCAGAAACTCATTCTTTCAAGTGAATGTACAATGCTTTGTTGAGACTCAGGTAAATAATTTGTACGTCTTTCTTATGAAAAGGTTGTAGCCATCATAGCGTATGAAAATGTTTCAGTCAAGTAAAGTTTGTTATTAAATATATCATTACATGCAGGTAAATATTGAAAATGTTTAATTGGAAAGCTGCTTTCAATACCTTCTTAACAAACACTCTAGTTTGCTTACTACTGGTTAGCGATCACGAAGTCATTATAATTAGATGGTGGTAAATGATTTTGAGAAGATAAAAGTATAGCCAGATGGACTTAGACAATTCTTATGTGTTACCTAAGCATTCTTAATTGCCAGTGAATGTCCCATGATCGTGTTTGTTGAATTCGCGAATATTTCTTAAATAAGTTGAAGATATTATAAAAAGATGTGTGAAGTGAATTGATAGAAAATACTGGATACTTCATTGCTAGATATGATTAGATGATTGGCAAGTTAATATCTGCAAATCCAAATAACAGACCATTTTCACAAACTTCATCCATGAATTAAGTTCAGTTAAAAGTACGATCCACTGTTTTATTTCATACATTTATGAAGTTAAAAGAAAAAACTTGGTAACTTTTTCCGTCAGTGACCAGGATGCATTGTTCATATTCAATGAAACTATTCATTGAGGGGTGTTTGAAAGGAATATATTTTACAGCTAATTTCGATATTTAATAACTAAAAAGCAGTAAAGTACAATATGTATTATTGAAGATATTATTAATTTATAAGGAAGTAGTTGAATGTTTACAGGATGTAGCCACTAGAATAGACAGTATAAATGATACCATAATATACTGTATCAATCTCATTTACATGTTACGGTATAGCTTCATACCTAGTTAGACGACTATTTGAAATTCATATGCCGTTAGCTGCAGAATTTTGCTATCTAGTAAAAGTTTAGGTAAATTAAGATATCAAAAGAAAAAAATGCCGATAGGCTTTTTCTAGCCTCCCAGGGAATGGTATTTGTCAAAAAATTAGTTTTAGTATATAATTATGATGGCTATATATCAGCTGCGTAATTAATATTTAGAAATGTTTATCTATTTATTTAAAACACATAAACATAGGTACAAGAAGGAAGTCAACCATGAAACATAGTATCACTTTATTTACTAAACGATTCATAAAATACTTTTCCCCCATGGGTTCATTAGCTGTACATCTTTAAATTCTGGTGGGCTCGACAGTTTTGCCCCAAAATGCCCTGGTACGATCGAGGGTGGGGAGAGTCCGTTCTCCCTCCCAAAATGCTGATCACATGGCCTCGCGTATACAGCCACTGACAGGGAAGCTCTACTCACTGCCTTCTCGTGACTGGAGTGTTGTTTACGAAATTGAGAGAACGAAAAGCTTCAACTGGGTTGGTGGATATGAAGGATGCGCCTAGAGGAGTTGGAAAGCCCTAATTCCAGGCCAATGGTGCACATGGGCTCCAGGATTCTAAAGGGACAAATGG